AGCGGGGGAGGCTCGGCCAGGACAAAGGCTGGGATGGGGGCCCCGGGAGGAACTGGCGTCCTGCCCTGCCTTTCGGTATCTCCTTCTCCCGGTTCCGCCGTCTTGTCTCTTTGCGGGATGTGCTGCCCTCGGTGCCGCCGTCGCGTGTGTTTGCGGAGCGCGGCCCCGCGCCCGCCCGGTGCCCTGAGCTGGCTCTGCTGGCCCGAGGTTTGGGACTGGCCTCACCAGCTTCTTAAAAAAGCACGGGGAGGGGGTGGAAAGGCAGGGGAGCAGCTGGTGCAAGCCCAGCGGAGCAGCTTGGCGAAGGGGAGCCCTCTTTTCTGTCAGGTCCCCAGGAGCCCTTCCCATCTTGCCATCCAAACGAGGCTGCGTGGAGCAGAGTTCAGCTCCCGATTCAAAATAGAACAATAAATAAACTCCACTTGGTGCCTGTTGCTGTAGTGCTTACAAAGCGCTGTTGCTACAAACAAGGCTGTGCTTAATTCCAGGTGACCATGGCAGACAGAGCTGCAGCTGAAAGAGCATGCAAAGACCCAAACCCCATCATCGACGGCAGGAAAGCAAATGTGAACCTGGCATATTTGGGAGCAAAACCAAGGAGTATTCAAACTGGTGAGGCATGAAGGAGAACCCTTCTTGGTCTATTAGAGTAACTTGTAAGACAAGGAAATAAATTACCTAAGCTGGATTAATCTGATCTGATGATGTGTGCTTGTCCCTCATTGTTTTGATTGTTGACTGAGGATGTTGTAGTGTAGTTACTTCTCTTCTGGGTTTTCTTACTTGTACCTGTTACACCAGTGTTGTGCACCTAAGCTTATGTAGCTGAGTTAAACCTGTTTTCTTCCACGGTTAATCTGTTTTCCTGTTATCCTTTCTGTTGCATCAGTGTTAACAGTAAGATCCATTCCCTCATTCTGCCCTTTGGTTTAATGACCACAGTACCCAATGTGTAAAATAAGGCTTTTACACCCCACTGTCTGTTGAGTAACAGCACTTTCACACTGCTCTTCAATCTGAATTCCCATCTGGTCCTGGTGTGTATCACATATGCATATTAAAATTAATTTGCTTATAATGATGCTCTGAATTTGCTCGCATGCATGGCAGATAAAATGCCTGTGGTCTGAGGTGTCATTGTGCATGTGTATTATCAATCCAATGTTACAATGGATGCCATTCATTAATTTTTCTTTCTTAACTCTTCTTTAGGTTTTACCATAGGTGTGCAGCAGCTACATCCAGCCTTCATTCAGAGACCCTTTGGGTGAGTGGAAACATTTCTTAACAGTCTGTTTGAAATTGAATTTTTGAATCAACTTCCTCATTATTTAAAATGTGTGAAAAAAGCCCTAGTTGTCAAGAGTGGGCAGTTTCAACAGCTGTTGTTAATGTTCAGAGTACTTTATTTCTGGTGAAGATTTCAGAAGTTTTGTGCATTTGTCAGCTTTAATGTAATTCCCAAAGATTCTCCTTTATCCTCAGTAAATCTTAATCATAATAAGCCCGATGCAGTGCTTGCTGCTTTGCCAACTTTTAAGAATTCACAAGAATTCAAATAAATGGAAAATAGTTTCTCTATTATAATACTCAAGGTGTCAAAGCAATTAAGCAAATTCTGTTCTCATGTTTCTCAGATAAGATCTTCTGCTTCCTCTGTGCTGTTTCCCACGTAATAACACTTAGGATACAGTTTTATCCTAGAAAACAAATTGCATTGGAAGCAAAGTCTGTTACTTAATGAAAGTAACATTAGGTCAAAAATTGATTTTGGACAGATGTTATACAAGGCTTGAATAGTCTGCAAAAGTGGGCTTTTGTCTGCTGTTTTCAATAGCTTATACCATCCCTGCTTGGTTAGAAAAGTCCTCTTTTTATACATCTAATAGGATCTGGCAGCTGCTCGGCAAAAGACAAGTGTGCTTCATGAGAACAATAGCGACTGTCATACTGCCTTCATTTAACTGTTTAATGATTGATGCAGTTCTTTTTTTTTACACCATTTCAGAAACTGAATATTGATAGGGTTTTTTATTATTATTTTCTAAGAGCTGTAAGAAACTAGGTGTATTTTTTTAAGAAGCTTTTGAGCACTGCTCTGTTGTGGTTTTTGTGTCGTTCTAATATAAATAGATGGGATTTTGGCCTTTGTCAACAGAAATACCTCATCCCTCCCCTGCTCCCTGCTTTTGTTTTTTGGGTTGGTTTTTTTTTTCCCTTTTTTTTTTTTTTAATGAAAAAAAATCTGCTAACAACAAACCAGAAACTTTCACTCCTCTGCCCTCATGGTTGCAGTTGCCAGCTGCCTGGGTAATCTCATTCCAATGAGTTTATGGATGTAAGAAACTGTGTTGCCACAATAGTGCACACCCAGTGTACGTGTGTTGTGTAGGGTTCAAACATGCCAGTTTTTGTAAGTGGGTATGGCTCTGCTGGAAATACTCAAAGAACATCTGTCATGAAATGAAGAGCCTATTTTGTTGGGGTTTTTTACATGTGTGGAATTGCTGCAGCAGTCTGTGCTGACAAGATGTTGCTTTTAAATAGCTCTCTTTCCATGGGAGCCATAGTTTCCTAGCCTCCCAAAGTAGGAAGCAGCAGTACCTTTGAGATATGAACCCCAGAGGCTTTCCAAGTTGGACAGGAGTGCACAAGAGAAGGTGACTAGTTCTTGTTACTGGTTTTTCTTCACATCCTGACAGAAAGAGCAGAATGGTGAAGCATGTAAAACTCCTGGTGTTGGCAGGAGTGTGGGCACACGCCCGTTCCTCTCGCAGATAATCTGCTGCTCCTGTGGGTGCTGTTCCTACCCAGCATCTGCAGGTCTGGAAAATGTAGTTTTTGAACAGTTTGCTTTTAGTTTCACACACAGAGGAGTGTGGGATCAACTGACTGCATGTTCCTTGTGATCTAGACAGTTACTGTTCCAGTTCTTAGGCATTGGTTTCATCATTAAGCCGGCAGGGCTACACTTAGCACATACAGCACTATAAATTATTCATCAGTTGCCAAGAGACAGGAACCAGGAGACTGGAAGATTGGAGGACGGGGATTATATATCATTATTTGCAAGCATCAGTAAACAAGAATTTTGTTGCATTCAGTCATTCCTGGAGCAGAATCACTGAAAATGTGGGTTTGGCAACATGTGGAGCCATTTACCTGAGCACCATGACTGGAACTGTATTGTGGCTTCTGAGCAAAGCATCAGGTGCTCAGTCAAGCAATGGAGCTTGGCTACTGGTTCCCTCTTTGTCTTGTCAGTAGATCAACAAAATTAGGAGCCTGCCAGGCTCCACTCACTGCATTCCCTTGAACCCACAATTTTCTTGGCCCTCTGTGGGATTTCAGGATGGATGATGAGTTTATCAGGTTCTGTCTCCCTTTGGAAGCTTCATCAAGTTCCTGTTATCCATTTGCTCTGCACTGTGTGAAGTGGATCCTGACCTTCCCTGGATGAAGCTCAGTGGCTCATCTGTGTTGCCCACACTGTGAAGATGTTGCCTGGTTCTCCCTCAGGCATTTCCTGCCTCTGTGAAATGTTTGTGTCCAGGGGCTGATGTGTGGTTTCCAAAAGATAATTGTTGTGGGACATGGGGTACAAGGTGTGCAAGCTGAACTTGGCAAGGAAGAAATGAATGAACAACCAATTAACTGCTAGGCACTTCAATAAAAGAAAGCAAGTCATGCTCCAGCTATCAAGCCACAAAATGCAGGTTTTGGTGAAACCTAAAATGAATGGAAACTATGAAAATTACCCAAACATCAGTGAGGATTATTTATAAACTTAAGGCTTCCCTGCCCCAGGCACCCAAATGCAGCTGTAAATATTGCCTGGGGTTTGCGGAACAGAAAGAGAAACCATGAAGGGCCTATCTCCTTCCTCCTGCTGTCCTGGCAGGGGAGGCACTAGCACAGCAGACAGCAGGGAGTCGGCAGTAAATCCTCTTTGAAAAGTAGTCTCTAGATTGTCGTAACCGGAGATCTTACCAGTAACACGAGGCAGAGGATGTGTCTCTGTCAGGGTGACTCTACGATCTGGCTTCTGAGTTTAGGGAAGCAGCTTTAGACCTGGGGGCTTAACCTGGAGCTTACAGACCACGCTCTGCTTGGAGGCAGCCGGCAATGTGCTGTGTCCCAGCAGCTACCGGCCAGCACAGAGCTGGGCTTACGTGATCAGAGGGGTGGGAAGCCACCTCCATCCAAATGGAGCTGTCTCTTACTGCACCAGTGGCCTTCTTAAGAAATTGTGAGAAATGTGTGAAACTTCTTGGAACCTTCTAGGAGCAGCTGTGTAGACTGCTTGACCAGGAGTACACGGTGATGTGGCAGAGCTTCTTCGGTCTGCCCTTGGGCCGGTCCTCAGGGACACCTTTGCTCAAGATAGGTTTGGGTTTGTGCAGGGAAGAGGGATTCCCTGGTTCTTCCCATTGCAGCAGTGCTTGCTGGTTTGTACACAAGCAGTGTATGTCAGATGCATTCCTGTGGCTGTGCCTCAGCAAAGGAGCTATCTGTGTGGGAGATCTACCAGTGACTAAGTGACTGAGCTCTTGGAAACATACAGCTGTCTCTTGCAGCGGGATCCAGCTTTTTCCATAGCTGCATATTTGTTGTTGCTGCTCCAGAGACCTGCTGCCCATCCTTGTGTAGCTGCTTATTTTGGTGACCCCCTAACTCTGGCCCACACTTGGTCTTGGGCAGCATTGCAAGGAGTTCAGTAACTTCAAATTTGAAATTTCATGCGTTGACGCTGGTGCAGTTGGGAAGCAAAGAAAGTCCCTCTTTGTGTCAGCCCACCCTCCCTCGCAGCTGTTTATCCTTAAAACTTCTCTATGGGGTTAAAAATAAAAGGAAACAAACTTTCATCTTTTCTGTGGTTATGCTGATGAAGCCACGCGCCCGGGCCGCGCTCTGCTCAGCCCGTCAGCTGCCACCCCCCGTGCCCCACTTCCTACTGCAGCCCTTACCCAGAGCTGGCCCGTGCAGGAGCCCGGGCTGCTCCCCTGGGGATGGCACACCCGGCACCTGTTGTTTGTCCTGTGCCAATAACATGAAAGCTTTTTTCTGGGGGGGGATTTCCTAAGAAACATTCAAATCCATTTTCCAAATGGCTTCAGCTGCTAGTTCTCAGGCATGGGGGCTGCTATTCATACCAAATGCTTGCCAGGCTGAAAGAACTCCTCATCAATGTTTACAAATATGTAAGGGGTGAGTGTCAGGAAGATGGAGTTAGGCTTTTCTCAGTGATGACCAGTGATAGGACAAGGGGTAATGGGTGTAAATTGGAGCATAGGAGGTTCAAGGTGAATATCAGAATTATTTTTTTTTTACTGTGAGAATGACAGAGCACTGGAACAGGCTGCCCAGAGATGTTGTGAAGTCTCCTGTGCTGGAGACATTCAAAACTCATCTAGACACATTCCTGTGTGATATGCTCTAGGTGACCCTGCTCTGCCAGGGGAGTTGGACTGGGTGATCTTTCGAGGTCCCTTCCAACCCCTAGGATTCTATGATTCTATGATGCTATGATTCTATGACTCTATGATGATTAAAAAACTCTAATTCTAGTCAACTTAACATTTATACAACTCCTTTGAGGTTTTGGGGACTATAAATGCTTTTCTCCAAATGTTGTTTCAAAAGTAATTTATTCCTTTCCTATCTGAATTTGTTCTCTCTTGAAATGGCAGACAGATGCTGTTGTTAAATCAGATCCCTCCCTGCAATCATTATTAGAACTAAAGTGAGTCCAGTCTTGCCTCGGCTTTTTTTTTTTTTTTTTTTTTTTTAACAATTTCAGGACTGAGTTTTCCAAATGACCTGTGGCAGATTAAAGTTCTTGGTTGTAGTTCATTGGAAGGAAGGCCTGGGGAGTGAAAAGACTTTTCAGATACCTCACTACTGCTTTCCCATCCCTAGCCCCACAAATAGGGTTACCATACATTTTCTGGAGTGATAGTGTCCCCTCCTAGTGCCATGTCAAAAGCAATGCCTGTCCACACCAAGCCATGACTGTTCTCAGTGAAGTGTTTGGATCATGCAGCAAGTTTTTATTTCTTTGTCAGGTTACTGCACAACAGCCCCCATTCAATCACTGCATCATGACATTAACATGGGCCAACCAGCAGACATTTCACTCTCCCTCTAGTGCAGTATGGGAGAAACATATGACACTTACCTAAAAATTAAATGAAACAGCTGGAGCCCAGTTGCAGCAAATTTCTCTGCTCCCATCAAATCAGCAGAAATTAGCCCCTTTGGCAGCCA